AGATAGATAGATAGATAGATAGATAGATAGATAGATAGATAGATAGATAGATAGAGAGGGGGGAGGGGAGGGAGAGCTGACATAATTTTATATAGACGCCTGTTTTGTTTTTGCATGTTTCCCGCGCAAAACATTGTTGAAAAACGGCGCCCAATATTAGAGCCGACTTGTTGTGACGTCATACGCCATTTTGATTTTTCTGAAGGAGACTGCGTTTTAGTTTTGAATTTGATTAAAGAGAGTTACATAGACGCATATAGGGCAGGGAAGAAGCAAGATAGACAGAAACTACAAAGAGAAAGAAAGGAAGTAGGACCTACCAGTGGCACCTTCCAACCACCCACCAGTAGAGTGCTGCATTTAATAACTGAATTTAATAAGTTTTTTAAAATTATGCCCACTGTTTAAAGTCATAAAGAAATATTGATGAATTCTCTATGTTTTTTCTTGAACTGTAACGTTTCTCTTATACCATCACCCCCCATCCCCCTTCTTGAGCGATTCTTCTAGAATGGGATTGTCCCTATTTCCGTGCTGGATAGTCTAAGGTTTTTTGTTGTTGTTTGTTTTTGTTGGGGTTTTTTGGGGGGTGGGGTGGGTTGTTGTTGTTGTTGTTGTTGTTGTTGTTGTTGTTGTTGTTGTTGTTGTTGTTGTTGTTGTTGTTGTTGTTGTTGATGTTGTTTCATATCAATATTTGTTTGGAGGATGCTGTAGAGAATAACCCCTCTCTCAAGCCTAATCGTTTTGTGTAAAAGAAATAAGCACATCGACAAGATAAACGTAATAGTGAGGGTAAAGAGAAGCACATAAGTTAGTGTGAGTAAAGAGTAACACATCGGCACGATCAAGAAGAAAGTATGAGTAAAGAGAAGCACGCCATTTAGTGTTAGTAAAGAGTAGCACCCCTGTGACTGAGGATGAAAAGGGGAAGGAAAAAAGGGAAAAGAGTGGCACATCGATATGCCTGCCAATGGCCACTTAGTACAGGGGGAAAGCAAGACAAGCAGAAACAACAAAGAAGAAGAAAAGTGAAACCTACGACGGCACCCTCCAACCCCCCTCCCCCCACCAAATGCAGAAGCGCTCTGGCCTAACAGCACTCAGAAAATTATGCCCTTGTCCCTTCATTATTAATTTCCGCACTTAAGTACACCCGGAGCAAGAACATGAGCTGGTGGCTTTTTCTTTAAAATGTTACTCTTGCAGCCACCAAGAAATTGCAGTTTCACTTGCAGTGCAAAGATCAGACTGAGACAGGACAGTAGCCCGCTTATGGGGAAACCCATAAATTGCCTGATTGCACAATAAATCCTCTTCCAGTCCCTTGTGTTTTACTGCAGCGGGCTGAGAAAAAAAAATCAGACTAGCGTTTGAGACAAAATTCACAATCGCCTTTAGCATGATGCTAAAAGCCAAAGAGCCGAAATTCTCTCAAGCTTTTCTCTAAGTGGTTTGGTTCATCTGTTTTTGTTTGCGCCCCCCCCCCTCTCTCTCTCTCTCTCTCTCTCTCTCTCTCTCTCTCTCTCTCTCTCTCTCTCTCTAATATTAACCTCTTTCCCTCTAATTGTCCTTCTGTATCTATCTATCTATCTATCTATCTATCTATCTATCTATCTATCTATCTATCTATCTATCTATCTATCTATCTATCTATCTATCTATTGACATAGATTTTTCCTCATCATTTCATAACTGCAACATGCCAAGCTAGGGCTATCTTTTGGTTCTAACTGCCACGTGGCAAACATCATCTTTAATCATGAGAATGTCTATCTACACCAAACTCAAACCTTTTTAGGAGTGGTCTGTTTGCAACATGCGTTAAGTTCACAAAGATTGGTTATGAAAGACAGGAAACGGTGTAGCCCAGCACACGGTGCGGTGTTCCCACGACACAGAAATAATAAAATTTCAAACCACATATCGTCAGCATCCTTTCAGTTAATGGTTGGCTGGTGCTCTAGTGTACGTGTGTACTTTGCTTCTTCTTTCCTATCAAACAACTAAATCTATCGTTTTTCTATCTCTCTCTCTCTCTCTCTCTCTCTCTCTCTCTCTCTCTCTCTCTCTCTCTCTCTCTCTCTCTCTTTCTCACTGGTACTGACTTCTCTCCTATTCTCACCGTTCTGCATTCCCCTATTTCTTTCATGTCCACGTGTCTTTGATTATGCTGAAGACAGACAAGATGAACTAAAGAGGAAGAGGACAGGGGAGAAGAGGAACGCATAAAATGAGGAAGGTGTTAAAGGGACAACGTTTTGAGGAGGGGGGGGGGAAAGAGAGGTTGGAGAAGTATGTTATCCAAAAAAATCTTGAACATCAAAACGGTTTAACAACCCTGTTAACACTGAAACGTTATTTAATATGCAGGACTGTCGAATTTAATGTCCATCTGCTAGAGGGCTGAGCTAAGAGGGTGGAGTGCCTTAAGATCTCCCATACACAACCCAATTTCAAGACTGTTCCATTAGGAATTTAAACCCCGGCCATCCGCATCCTAACCCAGCATCATACCAACTGAACTAAAGTAGTGGCTCAGTGGTACGGGAGACGGGTGGGGACTGGTTGAAAAGTAGAAAAGTAAACATTCCTTTTCTTTACCTCAGTTTAAAACGTTGCTTTTCAACAAACATTCCTTTTCTGTACTGTTCCTTTTCTTGGGAATGCGTTCTTTACCACAGTTTAAAACTTTCCTTTTCTACAAAGTTCCATTAGTTTAGAGGACCTCAGTTTACAAACTCTCCTTCTCTTTACGTCAATTTAAAAAGTTTCTTTTGGAGGTACCAGTGACTGGGTGGTTCATCAGCTCCGGCTCACAATGATGCCACCATATCGCTACTCAGAATTACAAAGTTCCATTCGTTCAGTGCCTAGGCTAGTTTTTGAGAAAATTTGACGTCAGAGATATAGAGTTTCATATCATGTCAAGCTTTTTCAAATGCATTTTCTTAAAACGGCCAAAAATGTCAGGTAGAACTTTGCAATTCTAGGGTACCGATATGTTGGTGGTACAGTTTTTAGATGTGTGGTCCCGGCCTGGGTATTGTGGATGTACTTTAGAAAGATACGATAACCCCTTCTCAAAAACAGGACGCCCCACTGTGGGGACCAGAAATGGCATCTGGATTGTCTATGTTTGTGACATTGTACATTGTGCATGTTTTTATGTATTAATTTATGCTTTCATAAGTGTGTGTGTGTGTGTGTGTGTGTGTGTGTGTGTGTGTGTGTGTGTGTGTGTGTGTGTGTGTATTTATGTACGCCACAATAAAACATACGTCTCAAAGGGATCGATACCGGCGACTGTGGTGCTGCGGTTACGCGCTTCACTGTCGTAGGCTACACCGGTGACCCGAGTTGGATTCCGGCGTGGGGAAAAAATTAATATTCTCCGCCTTTCTGCTGAGGTAGTGTATTCCTCTCAGCCCGGGGTTTTTCTCTGACAGGCAAAGTCAGAAACCCGCCTTCTAAATGAAATAAATGTGTATGGGAGTGGGTGTTTTTTAAAAAAACCTGCACTATTAAAAGAGGTCGGTAAAGTGAATTTGTTGTTTTTTTTCCTCAGGTATGCGACTGCTGCTACCATATGTGCTCACCTAGACAACTCGCCACTTACTGTTAGACATCACAAGTCAGCCTGACACAGCCTTGCTTTCTCTCTCTCTCTCTCATCCAGTATCTCTCGTTTCGGTTTCTGCTGGGGGTTTTTGTTGTTGTTATTTTGTTTTGAGTTCGGTCTTCTTCTAGCTTCTTGCTACCTTTTTGCATTTATAATCGATGCGACTGTTAGGTTTCACCAATAAATTACTTGGGTGGTTTATATACTGGCTCTGTGTTCTTATTGTTGTTCGTGAAAAATCTGTTTTTGGGGTAGAAAAGTCCCCTTTTACTTTTACTGTTTTTGCCAAAGACAGTGGAAATAAGATAGAAGAAGCAGTAATGTGGTCTCTTTAGAGACTGTTGACAATTTCGTGGAAGAAATAGAAATCAAATGAGGTAGTGCTGAAAGAAGCCCACGAGAGCCGCTCACTAATAAATCAGTTAGGATCAGACAAACGAATTTCTGGGGCACATTTATTGGCATAAAGGCCTTGAGCACCTTGCTCTCACTAGAACAACAGACGGCAAACGAGGCAGGAATGGACCCAGAACAACTTACTTGGAAAACTTTAACAGATGGATGATGGGGAAAGACCAGGAAAATATTGTCGGCCAGCCATTAAAATGTACTGCTCCCAAAATTTAGATTTTTTGGTAAAATTTTAGTTTCTTAATCTGTGGTAACGGTTGCATGTGCTCAAGAAATATTCTAATTGGCACATTGCAACAGCTTGCTGGCCATATAGGTTTGTTGAGAGCATCTGGACAAAGAAATGAACGACGTGCCATGACCGCCGGTGTATGTTTCAGATCTGGCACTTTATGATGATGATGAATGATTCTATGCGGAAATGTGGTTTGCAATGCAATACATATGCAGTCATAATTATTCATACACATTTTGCCCTAGATACTTTACTACTTTAACGACGCTTGGTGGCAACAGAGGATGAAAGAGTAAAACAGTAAAGTAAAGTAAGTAGTGACTACATAGAATCACGTCCCTGCAGACAATCGTCACGCCGTTTCTGGTTGCCACTGATTTAGTTATAGGTTAAGTAAGAGTTTTAAGGAACTTGCAACACATTTAGATGAATAAGTGTAAAAAAATGAGAGGTGATATTAGAGAAAAACAAGCAAAACGAAAGAGGAGAGTTAATGACGAAAGATGTATGGTGAGATGATAGGAGTAAACCACATCAAAGTGCCCACCAGCGACCCACTCTAGCTCTTGCCACAGTGCAGTGTTCTGTTTTGTTAGTGAAGATTATTTTACATTGCCCAAGGACACACCCTAGTAACCACCCTCCAAAATGCTGTGTCACCGACACATTCTTGACAATATTTAGAGATTGAGCACACTGGCAACTTTGCCACTGTGTAGCCCTGGATGAATGCAGGCGAGAGTATTGCATCATCATCATCCTGTGCAATGTCTGTGACAGACATCGACGATCATGTTTCTCCGTCCATTCCTTTGCTCGGATGCTCTAAAAAAAGCCACGTTTCCCTGATATTTCCCCGTTACCCGTTTGTTTAGGTTCCTTAAGTAGGTTGTTCTGGGCCTACCCCTGCCTCGTTTGCCTTCAATTTTGCCAGTGGGAGCTAGATGTTCAAGACTTTTATATCCATTGCATCATTTTAACAAAATGTGCCACGACACTCTGTAATAAGGTGCTCGGCAATATTTGGGGATATGAAGTTACTAGTATAATCTTGAAACCTATTTATTTGTCCTGTTTTCAATAAAAACAAAAAAAACCAAATATCTTAAATAGAAGTTGAGATAATTGCGATCAAATGTGGTGGGAGTCGCCTGTTAAGTAAGAGTAAAAGTGGCGAGAAAATTATGGTCAACAAAGTGTGGTCACTGCCAATGCTTGAGTGTCCCTGGAGACTACAAATTTACATGTTGTGTGTCTGTGTTTTATATCTACATTTTTCCAGTAAACTCAACACAGAAATATCTACAAAAGGTACTGGGCACAAAAAAATTGCCGAACAAGAGAAATAATGTCGGTTTCTTCGCTTTCAGTATTTTGACAAGCGCCTGATTTCCCCATGATAAAACACAATTAATGTGTTTGTGTCTGAAGAGAGGCACCAATGCTGGAATTCTGACTTTTTTTCTTTAGATTAGGGGGCTTTCTTATTGAAACTGTAATGTTGAAGATAATTTTTGAGAGACTGAACCTTTTTTTAGGTAAGGTATAAAGATACTATGTAGAGAAAACGGGCTCTTAAACTGTACACCGTGGGCAGACACCAAAATCACAGACAGGGTAAGGGTGCATAAGTAGTGCAATTTATTTGCAGACATTCCTGCTCACTGGTATTTATAGTGTAGAGTGTAGGCTGGGTCCCTGTGATGGAGAAATGGCCAATAACATCAGGTAAGACAATGACACTGTTTTATCTGAAAGTGGGTGTTATGGGTCATTGTTGTTGTAAAGAACGGGTGGTGTGGTGATATCTAAAAAGCAGCAAATTCTATCCTTCATCTCATCAGCAACGGTGAGGTGATCAAACTATTTCCACAATTTAAATAATAATATGTCACGGATACATCGGATCGGATGTCGAATTTGCCACAGCAAAAAAAAACCAAGATTTGCAATAGTTTAAGTTAGTTTCAGTACAGGTTGTCCAATCTTGAAAAGTAGAGACATGTCGGTGATAACAAAAGTAAGGTTTTTATAAGGTTACGTGAGGTCAACCCTTCTACACGGCTGTGGACTGGCGCTCCGTTAGCTCAGTTGGTATCATGCTGGACTGTAGAGGGGGTGCCCCCGGGGGGGGGGGGGTAGTTTTAGTAAGAGTTTTGTGGCGCTAGCAACACAATAGGTCAAGTAAGTGCCAATGATTAGAGGTCAAGGCACTTCAGTGAATTCTCAAACTTCTCCGAGGGCACTAAAATCTGAATTGTTGAAAAGAGCTTAATTGGCTTTCTGTTTTCAGAGCTTTAAAAAGTTTTGTGCTATCTTTGTTGGTTTAGAAGCAGCGACCATTTTTGTGAATCAATTTTCGACCTGATTTGGCCAAATGTTTGCACTGCATTTTGTGCCACCAGAACTCAAAATTTTGCTTCACAACGTCATAAAATCCTTAATAATAGTTGTATCGTAACCATTGAAGTATCATTTTGTTTGTTGTTTTATGTAGAATCAATATATGAAAATAAAAGTCAAGTACATTAAGAGTAAAATTCTTTTTACCGTTTAATTACGTCATAAGCGTGACGTCGGGAGTCCCATGCCTATTACCCCAAAAAATAATAATGGTCCGATTTTCAAAAGAAAAGTGTCACTCATTTTGTTATAAAGAGTTCTTTTTTTAAGTTTTAGTAGAGGTTTTACGCCTTCGCAACTGCATAAGGTCATATGAGCGCCAGAAGATTAGAGCTGTTACAAGAGAGTAACAAACATAAAAAAGATGAAGGGGAGATAAGGACGATAGATGTTTGATAGGAAAGAAGAAGCAAACCACACCAGAGCACCCGCCAACCGCCCACTAAAGAGTTTTTTAACTTACTATTGGGGAAAATGATTAAAATTGAAAGCAATTTTAATCTTACATGCATAACTCAAAACAGGAGGTTAGCGGATGCTCTGGGGTGTTGTTTGTCCCTTTTTTCCCTATTAACAATCAATCGTCCTGATCTGTCCTCGTTCTTTTCTGTGTATGTTACTCTCTTGTAACACCTGTAATCTTCGGGGCTTAAATGACCTATTTATGTCGCAAGCGTCGTTAAACCCATGCTAATTCTAAACTAAAAAAGAATAACACAGACTTGAAGAATATATATTCAAAGAGTATAGTGTAAAGCGGGAAATCACCATAGAATATGATCACTACTGAGGGTCATCAAATACAGATATATGCACCATGCAATGACTCATACCCCGAAGAACAACGACATCAGTTCTATGATCAACTGAGTGACATGTTAACACTGTAGATGACAAAGATAATGTGACAATCATGGGGGACTTTAACGGCAGAGTGGGAACAAGGAAGACGACGTGGGAAAGATACATGAGGCCACACAGTGACAGAGAAACAGATCAAAACAGCAATGGAGAAATGCTATTACAGTTGTGCGCAAAACATGACATCGTAATATAAAATACCTTCTTCCAACACAAAAGGAGTCAAGTTAAAGCTTGGTACAAATGGAATGGCCTGAAGATAGCATCACAAATTGATTTTATCCGGGCCAAAAGATCGAAACTGAGAAAAATCAAAGACTCAAGAGTGATTCCCATCTACATCACAGACACTGACCACAGACCAGTCATCATGACTATTGACACACCAAACAGGAAAAGGCCAGAAGCAAAGAAATGACGATAAGTCGTAAATCTAAAAAATAAAAATGACAATACCAAAGAAAAGATACATGAACGTTTGAAAGATTTATTTCACAAATTTCCCAAACAATCGGAAGACATTGAAGAGGAATGGAGCCACTTCAAAGCATGTGTGAACAGAGCATTAAAAGAAGAGTGCGGTACCAGGAAAACAAGAGGGCAAAAAAAAAGAAAACAACTATATGGTGGAATGACCAAGTGAAGGAAGCCGTCCAACTGAAGAAAAAGGCATTCAAAAAGTGGCAGAAATTATATCCTATACGCAAAGATCGCCGCTATACATCAAGGGTAGTAAAAGAAGCTAAGAACAGATCCTGGACAGTATGGAGAACATCTGGTGACAAAATGTAAAGAAGACCCTTGAGAGTTTTACTAGAGGGTTAAAAAAGCTCGAGGATGCGGGGAGAACCATTCAACCCAACTGAAGTAGTCAATGATGAGAACGGAAAACCTATTTTCAAAAGCCAAAGATTAAGGAAAGATGGAATTGCTATTTCCAGAAGCTGCTGAATCCTACAGCAGAAACAACAGCAAACAGCTTCTCACCGAAAGAAATCACTCCTGAACCATCAATACTCTTGAGTGAAACCCAACATGTCATAAAGAAAAGCCCCTCAAACAAAGCGATAGGCGTTAAAAAACATCACAGCAGAAGAGATCAAACTATTCGGTCATATTGGAGAACTCTGGCTATGGAGGATATTTAACCTGGCCTGAGAGGCAAAAACAACACAGAGCCTACAGAGGAATATCCCTTCTCAGCTGTGTGGATATAACGTTAGCCAATATACTGGAAATAAAATGAGAATGAGACCGATTGTAGAGACTCAACTCAATGAACCACAGTTTG